ACTTATATGATTTATTTATTTATTTATTTTTTTTACAACATTATAACGAAGATAAACAATTATGCACCCAGAAGCAAGGGTAAAAAAGGAATTAAACAAAAACAATCATGAAAGTATCATAGATTAAAGTTCCGATTCCTTAAAAAACATAGTCCAAATCTGACCAAATGCACTGTGCAGAGGACGCATCCTTGTTTATACGACAAAAAAAATAAAACTGCAGTTAGTTACCTCCCCTTCGCCCCCATTAGTTCCATTTTTTTGAGATTTTGGGAGGGAGAAGATTGAGCAAGAGTGAGCGCGAAAAAAAGAGGAAGTATATGAAGAAAACTAGTAGAAAAAGAGAAATGACACAGAGGAGAAAGCAATTAACAGAAAAAAAAAATCAAGAATTAAGTAAAATTCTATAGTAAAATTATATTCTAAATTTTAAATTTTCATTCCATCTTAAAAAATGTCATTCCAATTTCTAAAATTTTCGTCTTACTTGAAAATTTTCCTTCCAAGAAGGGGATATCCCTTCTTATTTGAACTGCATGCTAGAGATGAAATGAAAGTTTGGATGAGTTCATGAAATGTTTTAATTAGACAGTCAATCTAAGTAAGGATTTTCAGTCATAAACAAGTTAATCCAATCTAAATTAGAAGATATTTGTTGTGGTGGAATGAAAGTTTAATAAAAATATTTCATAAACTCGTTCAAACTTTCATTTCATCTTGAACAAATAGATGTAGTTGGAAGGGAAAACTTATATTTAGATAATAACTTATCAAATAAAGTTAAAAATTTTAGAATTTGACGAACATTGGAATGATAATTTATTAATATGAAGAATTTTTTTTTTTTTGATTTTTTTTTTCAACTTTCATTTCTCGTAGGATTTTTTCTGTTGATAGTCCAGTCCTCTAAAAATTTATGCCCTTCTTCGAGCTCTGGGTGGGGAGTTGATGGGGTTGGTGGTCGGTATTTGTGCTCTGGGTTGGTGTGGTTGTGGGACTAAGAGAAGCTGTTGCACGGAGATCGGTCGATTGGGGGAGGGTGGGTCAGATTTTGAGGTATAGTCTGAAGATCTTCGATAAGCTTTTCTTTTATGAAGGTGGTCTTCATACTTCTTCCTCTGTGGCATGCTTGTCTGCTTGATCGATGAAGGTGAAGACATGCGTTGCCTCCTGAAGCTTGAGTATCAAAGCAAGGAAGCGTTGGCTGCGATGGGTAGGAGGCCTTTCTGGGGAAGATCGACGTCGATTGGTACTCGATTGAGATCCCTCATGCTTAGTCGGTGAGCAGCTTGAACCACGGCCCGATGCCTGACTTCATGACTTGTTGAAGAAGCAGATGAGGGGTGTCTCCTTAAACTACATGCTGGAAGAAACCCTTGAAAAAGAAGGCAGTGGAAGATATGAAACCCGAGAGTCTGCCCAAACAGGGAAGGTTCTCAACAAGGCTTAGTAAACCGTTGTTGACCCAGCCACAAGCGGTTAACGAGTAGCTATAAATTCAGGAATTAAAATTATGAAGTGAGGGTTTTGGGCAATCTGAAAATCCTGAATGGTCCTGAAGTGGTGAAGGGTCCGAAGACCCTGAAAACCACATGTTTAGGCAGACTGCATCCTTAAGTGGTGAAGTGAGAGTTTGGGGCAGTCTGAAAATCCCGAATGGTCCTGAAGTCAAAGATCTGAAGACCCTGAAAACCACATGTTTAGGCAGGTAGCATCCTGAAGTGTTGAAGGGTGTCTTGAAGCGGTAAAAGGTCTGGAGATCTTGAAAACCACCTGTTTAGGCAGGCTGCATACTGAAGTGGTGAAGAGTGTCCTGAAGTGGTGATGAAAAATACGATTGTTGTTAACCTTCGCTCGACCCAGAATATGGAAGAGTTGTCATTTGCTGAAGCCAAGCATAGTGAAAAGCAGTAGAAAGGTATGTGAAGGTCGTGTGCGTGCTGCTCCTTGAAATTCGACAGCTCAGCGCTTGCCTTTGCTTGCTCCAGAGGAGTTAGGAGGTTGAGGCTACGAGTCCCAAAGAATATTCGAGAGAGAATAAGGTTCGAGAATAAAGAGTGGGAGAGTAGTTGTACCGCTTGGTCCCGCTAAAGGAAGAAGAAAGATTGTGCACCATTTTGAAGCGTACAAAAAGCAGCTTCTTCTGCAAATTTGAGGAGATATGAGGCGACGAGGTTCGAACCGAACCTGTTTTCCACGAAGTTGTGTTGAAGTGACGAAATTGCGGACGGGAAGATGATGGGAGAAGAAATAGGTGGAGCAAGAGAAGAGAGGCCGTTGGGGGTTCAAGGACAAAGATTCGCTGTATGATATCGTCTGCTGAGGTGGGTGGTAAAGATAAAGAGGACCGGAGTGGAGTGATGAGTGACAAGAAAATGGTAGTTAGCTGCTCGTTCAAGAGCTCTTCATGTGACTGGACAGTGAGGTGGTGAAAGCGAAAAAGTGGAAGGAGGAGGATGTGGACGGCGAAACTGAAACAGTGCGGTGTCGCTGTGTGTTCGGAGGTTGGGGTATGGAGGGTGGTGGGTCACTGACTCTACATGCAGATGGGTTCATGATGGGGAGGGAAGGATGGTGAGGACTAACTTATCGCGATGGGTTGTACGGACGAAGGAGGACTGACCGATGGACCGCTGACATATGACTGACTTGGAATTGTGATGGCAGCACGACCTTGACTGACGAGGGAAAAAAACAAACGAGGGGCGATTGACACATGACCTTGACTGACGACCTTAACTGATGAGGAAAGGAAGAACCCGACGGACTATGACCTTAGAGTCCTGTCACCAAATCAAGGTGAGGGAAAACGACTCGACCTCTGAAGGACTTGACCGTTGTGTGGCATGCGCTCAGGTTTGCGTTCGCGATGAATGCTGCGAGCAATCGGGGTCTAGAAGGCGCAGGTCGGGAAGACACACAAACTATCGTTGCTGGCCAGGCGCCTGTGACTTATAGTGTCACAGGTCAAAGCATTGGGACCGGATGGGCCAGTGAGGCCGTGCTCCAACCTGGGTAAGTTGTCACATAGAACTTGGATAACCGTAAATGTTGCGTGGTTGCTTGCCTGTTGTGAATGGATATTCCGCAATAAATGTGGGCCTTAGATTTTGTAGATCTATGCTCTGCGATTTCAAGTCCCAAATGACAACGCCCTAGCACAAAATCCCAACCGTCGTTCTTGTTTCTTCTGTTGATGTAGTCCGATGGTTGTTGCATATTGAATCCAGTTCGTTTGTCTTGTGCGCAACCGGGTGTACGGTTGTTGGCATAATGCAACTACGGGCATTCTCACACTGGTAGTGGCACGTTCCTGAATGCATCGGACAACAATTACGGTCAGAGAGGGATGACTCTGTCCGCAATTACGTTTAGAGCTTTGTAGAAACATGGAAACATACACAACCATTTTCTTGTCACTCAGTGCATATGGAGAGCAGTGGAGCGAGGCCCATAAGCACCAGTCACAGAGGGTTTGGAGACGGTAGTGATACACTTTCGCTTATTTACCAGAGGCGGGCCACGAGTGAGGGGCATTGCGTGGTCCTCGTTTGGGTGCACTGCACTCCTAAATATCCAGTGTCAGTCGATTCCCCTACAAACCCCAAATTATGTTTACGTGTGCATGTGGCCTCCCTCCACCACTCACCAAATGTGCAAGATGAGAGTGAATCTTCCGCTAGAAGATGGAAAGATACGCCGTCATGAATTTTGTCTTTTGTGCATGTGGAGAGTGGGTGGAAGTGAGACCTCGCACCCGGCTTTGGGCCTAGCTCCACTACTCACGAGTGTGCAAAATGAGAATGAATCTCCCCCCAGAACATGTGAAGCCACACCGCCATATGTTTTGTCTTTCATGCATGTGGTCAGTAGCGGAGCGAGTCACTTTTTCTGCTACCCCCGAACACAATGCACCCTCATTTTAGATGTATCGGGCCCCAAACATACCTTGTCTATATGTTCATTTTCAGGGTACATTATGTTCGAGGGAAGACGGTACGCGCTTTTCCCGCACCAGCAGAAACAACGCCATATCAGTCCCCGGAACGTTGCGCAGCACCCTGCCAACCAACAGGGGCGTGGTCCTGTTCCTAGACCCGCCAAATGTCCGCCCATGTCGTCCACGCGCTGGAATGGAGTGGTGAGCTTTTTGTTTTTGTTTTTTTTCTTTTGGTGAGCTCGTTTGTGACAACCAAGAGGGGCGTGGTCCTGTTCCTAGACCCGCCAAATGTCCGCCCATGTCGTCCACGCGCCAGAATGGAGTGGTGAGCTTTTTGCTTTTGTTTTTTTTCTTTTGGTGAGCTCGTTTGTGACAACCAAGAGGGGCGTGGTCCTGTTCCTAGACCCGCCAAATGTCCGCCCATGTCGTCCACGCGCCAGAATGGAGTGGTGAGCTTTTTGCTTTTGTTTTTTTCCTTTTGGTGAGCTCGTTTGCGACGATTTACACTACACTCCACTGGAATTCAAAGAAACCGGGGGCCAAGTTGCCGCTTGCAAATGGCGGGATTGGACCCGCCGGTGACGAACGGCGCCACCCCTCCATACTCACCGGGCCGAGGGGTTTCGGCTGGCGGGGGGACCGAATCCTCAATTCCGGACCGTAGATTCCGAAGATCACCGTTCAGAAATGAAGAATTGGCGTAAGTGGGACCTGGCCCCGGTTGGCACCGGGCTCTGGACCGGCACCAACCTCACCAAAGAAGTGGCCGGCCGAAAGCTGCAGGCGGGGATGTTCTCGGGGGTTAGGTCCCACTTACACGAATTAAGCGATATTGACCGTAGATTGCAAAGATCAACGGCCAGAATCTCTTAATCCGTGCAAGTGAGACCTTGCCCCGGGTTTGCTGAGCGCTCATCAAAATTTTCTAACACAAAAATTTGCTGTGGCGAGGAAGGTTTCGGGTTTGGTGAGCGCTCATCAAAATTTTCTAACACAAAAATTTGGTGTGTGGCTGCGACCCCCAGCTTACCCAAAACCGAGTTCCGTGGGTGATGTGGCGAGGCCCTCATTCGGGAAGGTCCCCGCTCATCGTCACACACAGCTGGAAGTCCTCCTCCATGTCTGTAGACAGGAATGGCGAATTGAGCCTTCTTCTCCCACTTCACTGCAACGATGAGGCCTGAAGGTTGCCGCTGATCAGGCAACTAGCACCGGTGTAAGTGACGGCGAAACCGAGACCAACCCTCTCTCTCTCTCTCTCTCTCTCTCTCTCTCTCTCTCTCTCTCTCTCTGTGGATTGATCGCTTTCTCCTCTCACGCTTGTTCTCCTTCCGCGTTACGCCTCAACATCGAAAGCGTAATGATATGATGCAAAGAAACCGCGCCAGTGTGAAAGACCCTTCACCCAACCTTACCATACCCCCTGCCGTTCTACGTCTCCTCATACTCCATTAGTTTGTCTCTCTCTCTCTCTCTCTCTCTCTCTCTCTCTGTCTCTCTCTCTCTCTCTCTCTGCGCTCAGTGTGTCTGTCCTCTCTCTCTCTCTCTCTCTCTCTCTCTCTCTCTCTCTCCCTCTGTCGTTCCCACTTCGTCCTGTCGACTTCCTTTCCGCGTCTCTCTCCGGCGCTTCGCCCTCCCCCTCCAGACCTCTTCCCCTCCTGCCCCCTCTCCTTCTCCCCTTTCTTTCCCTCTCTGCTTTTTCCTTTTTTTCTCCCTCTCGGTCGCATTCCCTCTCTTTGAAACGATACAGAGAAGATAACCATATCCCCTGCGCATTCAAGCATGGCACGCGTAGATAGAGGAAAGCCCCCAATTGAAAAAACGAAAAACATACGGACGGCTCTTTTCTTTAAGTCTCTTTCTAGTGAAATTTCGCCATAATTGCGGTCTGATACATCAGCTTGGGCGGTAGTAATGGCCAATACCTCAGGCGCTGGTCGGAATTGTGATCAGATACATCAGTCGCTGGTCGTAATTGCGATCAGATCAGATACATCAGTCGGGTCATCATAACGGCTGAAAGCTGAAGAACAGTTCTTGAGAAACAAGACGTCTCGCCGGCCCTTTTTTTTGAACCTTTTTGTTTCACAAGCAAGCCTGGAGCAAGCCTGGAGCGACGACGGCTTGAGTTGTGGCCTTGAGTGGTGTCTGTCGCGTCAGCCGGCTATCACACACGCACTTACTCACTCACTCCCACTCACACGCACATACACTCCCTGACTCACTGACTCGCTCGCTCACTCACTCACTCACTCACGCGCTCACGCACTCACTCGCACTCACTCGCAAGGGAGTACAAAGGGGGGGGGGGGGGGAGAGAGAGAGAGAGAGAGAGAGAGAGAGAGAGAGAGAGAGAGAGAGAGAGAGAGAGAGAGAGAGAGAGAGGAATCGGAAAGAAGTGGAAGGAGCCCCACACACCTGGCACCTTCCCATGACTGCTTACCTCGCCACTTCACCCCGCCCGCCCCGTTTCCCACCTTCCCGCCTGCCTGACTACTCTGCCTACGGCCCACACTACTACCTAGGCCCAGCTTCTCGAGGGCGATACTGAACCAATGTTTGGCAGTGCCAATTACTAATGGTAGTATCTCCTTCACCTCCATCGCCTCTCGTCCTGCACGCCTATGTCACATATCTCAACTCAGGGAGCCATTCTCCCAGTCAAAAATGCATTTCTCTCTCTCTCTCTCTCTCTCTCTCTCTCTTTCGTTGTGTCTGTCTCTGTTTCTGTGTAGTGCACCCAGCAAGGAAACGGAAAAAAAAAGGGGAAGGGAAAAAAGTAGAAATAGGGAAAAAAGGTAGGAGGAATAAGCAAGGAAAGGGGGGCGGGAAAGAAAATAAAGGAAGAGAAGGAGAAAATACTTCAAAAAAGCAAGCAAAGGGAAAAAGGAAAGGGAAAAAAGGAAAATAGGGAAGAAAAGGAAAAAAAAAACAAGGAAAAGAAGAAAAAAAGGGAAGGGAAAAAAGTAGAAAGAGGGAAGAAAGGTAGGTTACCGCCTGTCCGATCGGGAGACGGCTCCGTCGTCTACGTCAGACGTCCGGTAGGGGAGGTGTCCGGATCCCGTACAACTCCCCCTGTTCAAAACCTCTAGCGTACAAGGCCGTCCACGTGGATGTAGGTTGAGAGCGGAGGCTGGCCCCACCCCCGTGTGTCCTATCGACCCACTTGCGCACAGCCAAAACCCTGCCCTGCGGGAGGTAGGGTGGATACGGAGGGTTTGGTGTTTAACAGAGGATGGAGGGTTTTGTTACTGGTATAACTTAGGATTTTTGGATATTCTTTTCTTATGTTCGTTTAGTTGAGCCTTTTCGATGATGTGAGGGACGCCGGACCCCGTTTCCGGCTTTTATAATTCAAAAGCAGCCGTCGTATGAACCAGTCCGAAGTGCCTGGATCATACGATATTAGGCTGCCTTTGAAAAAAAAAAAAAAAAAAAAAAAAAAAAAGGCAAAGAGGCAAAGAAAGAGGAAGGGAATAGCCAAATATAACAAAAAAGGGGGAAACAAACACAAACAGATCCTAGATGACAAGTCCCACATACAAGCACCGCCCCCTCCGTCACAGGCCAAACGATGGGACAAGACCAGGCAGGATATCAAAACACCCTTGCCTGCAAACAAGCAATCCCAGATAACAAACCATTCGTACTCGCCAACGACTCTGCATCAACTGGAAGACTCCTTTGCGATTGTTATTTGTTGCAAAAACTGGTATCGCTTCCATCTTTCTGATGCTTCGCTGGTCTAAACGAAAATACTAGGACACCACCACCAACAAAAAAAATGTATAAAAAACAATCCCAGATGACGATTCCTGCAGAAAAGCACCGCCCCACAGGCTGAACAACGGGAAACAACCAACTAGGATGCCAAAAGGATTAAAAAAAACGAGTGACAGGTCCCACATGAAATCACTGCCACGGGCACCCTACCGTAAGCCGAACAACGGGACAAAACCAACTGGGATGCAGACAAAGGTGCCAAAATACCGAAACAAATTCTTCCATAACAATAGTAAACATACGAAACCATACGGTACGTTCGCAAAACGAAATACCCCAACAATGGGGAAGAGCAAAGCAAAAGAAGCGATAGGTAGAAAGAAGAATTAGAAAGAGTATATTCTACCATATATATCTTCACAAGGATATGAGAGCGCAAAAGCGAAGAAAAATATAGACATATATATCTATCTCTCTATCTATCTCTGAGTGTGTGTGTGCGTGCGTGTGAACTCAGATACTGACAGGTGAAAGGCATTGAGCTGCTACGGGTTTCAGAGTGGAAGCCCAGGAATGGCCGTCTGAAGTCTCAGGCTATGGCACCGAGGTAACTCCTCTGCCCTACACCTCTACCGCTGCAGACCTCCAGTCTCGCTAGTCTTCTCTTCACGAACGCTACTACACCGCTCCTGTTTATTTCGTCCGCATTGGCTCCCCCAAAGCCTCTGCCTAACGATGGCTAGTGGTCGTCTTCCTCGCTTCCCCCGCCTTCCTTCCTCCTGCTATTGCTCGATACTCTTCATCATCATTCCTCTTCTTTAATAGCCTTTCTTACAAATAAAAAAAGAGGGAAGAGATAAAGCTTTCCTTACTAATTTCTTATCACAGAGTTGACCATACCCTGTTTGCCCCTTACTCTCCCTCCCGCCACCTTCCCCCCCACCGCCCCTGCCTACCATCGCTACACTGCATTCTCCTCCCCCCGCCGGCCCTACGTAACCATCGCTACATTGCATTCTCCTCCCCCCAGCTAGCTCCCCTTACATCCCTGCCAAACCATGGTCAGTAGTCTTCCTTGCCTTCCTCCTCTGCATTTTACTACCTAGCTGTTGCTCCTCTTCCTGCTCCTACACTTCCCTATGAGAAGAGGAGGAAGTGTAGGAGGAGGAAGAGGAGCAACAGCTAGGTAGTAGAATGCAGAGGAGGAAGAGGCAAGGAAGACAACTACTGACCATTGTTTGGCAGAGATGTAGGGGGAGCTAGGTGGGGGAAGGAGAATGCAGTGTAGCGATGGTTAGGCAGGGCCGGTGGGGGGAGGAGAATGCAGTGTAGCGATGGTTAAGCAGGGTCGGTGGGGGGGAAGCTGGGGGGAGGGAGAGTATGGGGTAAACAGGGCCGGTGGGAGGGAGAGTAAGCAGGGTCGGTGGGGGGGAAGGTGGGGGCGATGGTTAAACATGGTATGGTCAACTCTGTGATAAGAAATTAGTAAGGAGAGCTTTATCTTTTCCCTCTTTTTATATTTGTAAGAAAGGCGATTAGAGAAGAGGAATGATGATGACGAGTATCGAGCAATACCAGGAGGAAGGAAGGCGGGGGAAGCGAGGAAGACGACCACTAGCCATCGTTAGGCAGAGGCTTTGGGGGAGCCAGTGCGGACGACATAATCAGGAGCGGTGTAGTAGCGTTCGTGAAGAGAAGACTAGCGAGACTGGAGGTCTGCAGCGGTAGAGCTGTAGGGCAGAGGAGTTACCTCGGTGCCATAGCCTGAGACTTCAGACGGCCATTCCTGGGCTTCCGCTCTGAAACCCGTAGCGACTCAACGCCTTTCACCTGTCAGTAATTGAGTTCACACGCACGCACACACACACTTAGAGATAGATAGAGAGAGATATATATGTCGATATTTTTCTTCGCTTTTGCGCTCTCATATCCTTGTGACGATATACATGGTAGAATATGCTCTTTCTAATTCTTCTTTCTACCTCTTTCTTTTTTTGCTTTGCTCTTCACCATTGTTGGGGTATTTCGTTTTGCGGACCTACTGTATGGTTTTGTCTGTTTAGTACGGTTATGGAAGAATTTGTTTTGGTATTTTTGGCACCTTTGTCTGCATCTCGGCTGGTTTCGTCCCGTTGTCCAGCTTACGGGTAGGGTGCCCGTGGCAGCGATTTCATGTGGGACTTGTCATCCGTTTTTTTTTATCCTTTTGGCATTTGAGTTGGTTGTTTCCCGTTGTTCGGCCTGTGGGGTGGTGCTTTTTTGTGGGAATCGTCATCTGGGATTGTTTTCTTTATATGTTTTTTGTCGTTGGTGGTGTCCCAGTATTTTCGTTTAGACCAGCGAAGCATCAGAAAGATGGAAGCGATACTAGTTTTTGCAACGAAGAACAATCACAAAGGAGTCTTGGAGTTGATGCAGAGTGGTTGGCGAGTACAAATGGTTTGTTATCTGGGATTGCTTGTTTGCAGGCAAGGGTGTTTTGATATCCTGGCT